ACACACACAAATAGCGACTACGCTTCCCAACCCAGAATGGAAGAATTGTACACTTCACAAAAAGGCTGACATAGAATGACATCAATTGAAACTTAGTAATCAATCTCCAACTTTTAATGGAAAAATTATGATACCTCAAATAATCTTCTTCATCATCGTCCACAGCGCCCTTCTTACCACGGGACAACTTCCCTCTTGCACCTAAACTTTCCCGAATACTTTCATTCAGCGTCTCTTCCAAGTTCTCAAGCTCTTCCATTATCTACGAAAATGTGAGTCTTAGAATTTCCACGTAATGAAATGCCGAAGATTATTAAAATAGTAACTGACAAATACTAGTAGACTGTCATGCTTCCAAATGCATTCTCCAAATCATGGCAGTTTCCATAAATGTATCTTGACACTGGTAGATGCAAGTCATTTCTTAAACTTATTAATTGATTATATAAAGTCCCATTCTCAAATGAGTTGACTGAATAACCTCCATTCTCAATTACCCACCTAGAAAAGAGGTGCAGGGAGAAAACACAAGAGGTTCAGGAAGAACAGAATGAGCAAGAAGCATCACAATCTAATAGGTTTCTTTCATGTTAATCATTGTAATGTGATATTACCTGTATTTCCCAGTAATGAAGTGCAAGGTATACACACACAACTCTGAGGGTTCAGTAACAAAGGATCAAGAAAATGATGGGACCGTCATATGAGATATCCTAATCTATACGATATTTACAATAACAATCATATACCTGTGACATCCGTTGCTCATTTCTAGCAATCTGAGTTTGTTGTCCTTGTGTCAAGCCACCTTGAGCAATATCCTTCGCCCGTATTGCGTCAATCTCTTTCTTCATGTGAGCAATCTACAGATGATGAGAAATTCAGTACTCTACACATTATGAAATGCTAACACATAATGGAGTATGACCCAAAAGAACTAAAATTGAAAATTCCTGCTACATCTCAAAAAGAACTAATAAATAAACTTGTACCTGTAAGTTGCGACAAGTTAAGCTACATAAACTACAACATTCACCAAGACAACAAGAATTTAACTAACCTTTTCAAGTCTCTTGATAACTTTCTCTCGGGTCTTTTCTTGCTTCTCTGTCAGCTGTCCTTTGTAAGTTTGCCACGTTATTTCCTCAACATCATCCTAAATTTAAACAAAATAGAAACCGCTAATTAAGATAAAATTTGAAACACAGAATTCTTTAACTGACGTGTGAATCACTGAACCAGAACAATAAATCCTGCCGATAACAATACAATATACTGTTCATAACTAAACATATGGTGAAGCAATGAAAAACAACCTACAATTCAGAAATTGAGCAACACATGTATTGTAAATAAGTAGATCCTATTCTTTCAATAAAATAAAATATTACAACTGCAACTGCAGTGTCGGTAGTTATTCACACAACGTAAGCACCAGTACACATGATAGATAACCAAAAAACTGAAAATATACGGTTCATCTCAACTGGAAGCTCCATGGCAAACACCGGAATGCACTAAAAACAAGAGTTTATAGTGATTTCCCTGCTCTCACACCCAAATCCACTAACTCAAATCCCTCTACGAGTATATGACATTCGCTCAGTTCAAGCCCCCAAACTACTAGTTCTGGCACCTTCACTAGTTTCTCTATTCTACCTACAATACACCTGAGAGAAGGAACTGAACTCGCTGCATCTATGACTCTGTAGAGGATCTTCGAAGCCTGTTCCTTATGCTTATTCTATCTATATGGGCTACAAGTCAAACTACAAGCAGGCCAAAAAGGTTTGAATTGAAGAGAATAAAATTCTCTCTAGTGTACTTTCTATCCTGTACAGTCAAGTCTTGAAAACAACAATCACCTTCTGTTGATTCATGCTAATAGAGAAAAAAATACATGATGCAAACCTCATTTTCCTCAACAGCATCTTCTTGCATGCCCCATGAAATCCCATCTGCACGAGAAGCTTCAACTTTAGCTCGGAGAAGTGATGCTTCCATGTCTTGCCTCTCTTGTCGATTTTTTGCAGTTCTTAAACTCTTCAAGTCAGTTTCCTACAAAATGAAAACCGCACAAAACATGCTCAGAAGAATATAAACACCACAAAACCATGAATGTCACGTTTCACGAGAGATTTAAATTTTAAACAAAAGTAATGGTCTTAGTAAAAGCTGTGTTACAGCTAATGCTATTGAATTTGAGACTATATTTTCAGGAACTTACTGGTGGCATCAGGTCATGCGGCCCTTGGAATATGTACAGCCTTGATGATCTGGACACAAAAAATAAACCCCAAAGAAAAGGCATGACTAAAGGCTCCCAATTTATAATACAATGTAAAAGCAAACATTATCTAAAGAAAGCCTTCTCCAAATGAATTAGTATATTACTAGTTTCCAGTTCGATTGCACAAGCTAAAATTGTTCAGCGTAAGAAATGCCTCAGTAGAAAGAAACTGTTGGATGACATAAAGCCAAAATTGATGGAAGAAAATAAATTCAAAAACTTATGGAACTACTTACAGGCCGAACCGGATAACGTCACCAACATTCAAATCCACATAAACCCTCTTCTTTACCTGATGCATGAGTCAAAAAAATGTATCACTATCAGGACAATACAACCTTGTATTTCACCTGGTAAGCTCATAGCAGCAAACAGATAAATAAAGGGATAACTGATCCATATTTGGCAGGAAGAAATCTGAGAAATCAATGATCAACATGTGAACAGAAGATAGTTCCCAATAAAAGTAAATATTAGGTTCAAGATAAAGATTGGTATATTGGCTAATATGGGGCAAGAAAATAAGCAATCTCAACACTTTTCAGGGTAATTACTAATTAATAAGTTGAATGAAGAAATTGTGACATTCACAGAGTTTTAAGCTAACGAGTGGAAAATTATATTCGTTGCAAGCGAATGACTGGGAAATTATTTTCATAGAACTGATCTTGAATATGAATTAGACAGACAGTTTCAAGCACACATATTAAAATACATATAACAAAAACATCTACAGAGTTTCAAGCAGTGCAAACAGTATAAATGACATGGGCCATACAAACCTGATTCTTGTTTATAGATGTCCCGTGTGTGCTGCCAAGATCATAGAGATAGGCACCTCCATTGCTCTTAAACTGAAGAACTAGCCCATGAAAAAGAAAACCAATGAAAAATAAATAATCAGAAATATCATGTTACATCAATAGATATTTGAAAGGTATGACTAAATCAGACATTTCTAAGACAATTGATGGTGTTTCCGTTTTGTCAATGACTTTTGCCTGAGGCAATACAAAATAAAAAGTAAGACAAAACATAAACTACATAGGAGACGAGTTATGATGAAATCAGATTATAAACATAGAAATACTCAGTATGTCTTTTGTTTGCCCGGCCTAACCATTAGACAGACATTTTTATCACGAAGGTGATGTCATACTTAATAAACAACATAAACAGATGTATGATATTCTAAAATATAAGGGTATATTTTCGATGAAATAGACGAGTTGACCCGCCTAATCGTTAGGCTGTCTCATACAAGATTTTTGTATCGACATACTTTTTACATTACCCCACCAGAGTAACTGCCTATTAATTACAGAGGCATCACACTGGTCTCAGATTATTCATAATTCCACATGTCCACAGCACCCCCAAAACCCCAACTGAGAGTAACGAGTATAAGAATACTTGAAATTTCAGAAGTTTGCTTCCATTGGAATGCCTCTCTTGATGAGCATGGAGAACATCATATGTTCAAGAGGTAAAAAGGAGAAATGGAAAAGACTTCCAGGAGAGCAA